TGCTCACTTGACTTGTCCAAGCTAGCTGTTACTAGCGGGAACTTGATCACACCCGATATCTGCATATGAGAGAATATCTGAGCTTGCCAATCCCATGACCCCATCACAACAGCATCTGAATTCTTCATATTTGTCAGTGTATTTGTCCTCCAAATACATCCGTGTGGCTCAGAAATACTAACAACCATGTTATTTCCATGTTACAGGTAAGGAAAGGTGAGGGCCCAGATCATTCAAGGTACGAAGGTACCCGACTCCCACCGATTTCACAACCAGGGGTGGCCCCGTAGACCCTGCACTGCAGGCCTGGCCAGCTTAAAAAGTTACACTCTCTCGGTTTCAGGGGGGAGATCCCAAGAAATCACGTTAGAGAAGAAGGGGCCTCTGAAGAATGATTTAGAGAGCCTAGGCACTGAGCTGTGAGCTGTCTAGAGCTGGCTAGGAAACTCAGGATCATATAGTTCATACTTTGGGATCTAGAGGAACACCAAACCGAGTAGGCACATGCTCATTACAACGGTTCTGGTTCCCATCTTTTACAGTTTAGCCTAGTGGTTACAGCACGTCACTCAAAAAGGAGCGAGACCTGGGTTCTTGGGCACCTTCAGTCAGCCTGATGGCATCCAAAGCCACATCTCCCAAAAGGTGTATAACAGCCTGTGTAGAAACACCCTTAATCCCTCCTGTTGAAGCAAGGCCTCTCTGCAGCCAAGCACATGACAGTCAGAGGTCCAGAAGCACAAGCCAAAGGAAGTCTGACTCTTCAGCCCAGTACTACAGATTCTCACAGCTGGGAGAAAGGACTGGGTTCTGCCCCCTCAACTGTCTATCCATTAGATGGACGCTGGATACAAACCCAGGACCTGCCCCCTCCCCAGCTGGATGCACCACCCACTTGGCTACACAGTTGGGCTCCCTCTTCCTTGGTCACCTGCTGACCCTCCAGACTTGCACTCTTGGCTGCAGAGGGCAATGCTGTAATACAAAGTCGTGCCACATTCCCCTGTGCTCACAGTATACATGGGTTGCGGCACGGTATACTGATTTCAAAGCGGCTGGTCTGTGCTGGTGTGATCAGTGTGCCGGCTGGACTGCGACCGCCTGCAGAATGTAAATGCTACTCTGCTTTGCAGCGGCACTGGATCTTAGGCAGGAGCCAGGCACTCACCTGGTTCAGACTCATGTGCGTCTGCAAAAGCCTGAATTTAGGTACCTGGTGAATGTTTCTGTCAAAAAACATTCAGGGGACATTACAGGATCATAAGAAAGTAGGACTGGAAGGGACCTCACAAGGTTTTCTAGTCCTGCCCCCTGCTCAAGGCAGAATCCTCCCTGACTAGACCATCCCAGCCAAGGGTCTGTCTAACCTGCTCTTGAAAATTTCCAGGGCTTTTCTAGGTTGCCTGTTCCAATGCCTGACCACCCTCAGACTTCAAGTCCCTCCCAATCTCCAATACAGGTTTCCCTCGCTTTATGTTGTACATGCGTTCCTGAAAAACAGCACATACCTCAAATTTGCATAAAGGGAACTCACTTTGCAATGGAACAAATAGGGATACGTTCCAAGGCTCCACTGTACTGACCCCCTTGACCATACTGATGTGGTGTTGCGCCACTCCTGGGGCAGCTGCGGCTCCAGCAGCATGGGCATCAGCTGTCCTGAGCAGTGGCCACGGGCACTGCTGCCGGGCAGCTTCATGGCTGCGCTGATGGGCTGGACTGGGCCGGGCTGCAGGAGCTGGCACTGCAGCCCAGCCCGGGCACCACCACCCAGCTCAGCCCTCCCCACAAATAATTTTTTCTTTCTCCACCTGTGGCATCGCTCCCACAATGCACCACACAAACAGCTGACTGTGGACTTCTACCACACCAATCACATAAGAGTAAATTTACCTCGCATATAATGAATTTTTGGTATAAAAAGCATCATCGCATAAGAGCGAATTCGCACATACAGAACCCGCATAAAGTGAGGGAACCCTGTACAAATTTCCTCTGCTGCAGCTTGAGACCATTTTTCTTAGTCCTGACCCCTACAGCCAGAGACAAGTCCATTGCCATCTTCTCCATAAGTCACTCTTCAGGGATTTGAAGACTGCTACTGAATCTCCCCCTCACTGTTCACTTTTCCAAACTAAATAACCATAGTTTTTTCAGCCTGTCTTCCTAAGTCATGCTTCCCAGGCCTCCTATCACTTTTGTCACTCTGCTGGACTCTTCCCAATCTGTCTACTTCTTTTTTGGAAGTGTGGGCACAGTGCTCCAGGTGAGGCCTCACCGGTACTGAACAGTGGAAGAATTGCTTCCCTTCATTTGCAAGTAGCAATCCTGTTAATACAACCCAGGATACTGTTGGCTTTTTTGGCAACAAAAACAGACAGTTTATGGTCCACTGTACCCCCAGGTCCTTCTCTGCACTACTGCAACCAAGCCAGTCATTCCCTGGTCTGTATTCAGACATGGGTTTATTCCATCCCAAATGCAGGACCCTGCACTTGTCCTTGTTGAATTTTATCTGGCTGACTGTGCATCATTTCTCCAGTCTATCCAGGTCATTCTGGGTCCTAGTCCTACCCTCCAGAGTGTTTGCAACTCCCCCTAGCTTGGTGTCATCCACAGATTTCCTAAGCACGCATTACATGGATTTTGCTTAACGAGTTCTATGGCTCTGTGGGGGTGGGGGTGTATTTTGGATTTATATTTCACTTCACTCCTATTAAAACAAGGTTAGGGGAAATGTATTAAATTCTCCCAACTGTTTAATTGAGGAGTTCTAGCATCCCCATGTGGCAGAGAAGGTACCTGCAGACTGGTTGGATAGGGGGAGGGGGATGGGGTGGGATGGAGTTGGGACAATTTACCACTAGATTTGAGAAGTTTAATTTTCATGAACCAGGAATAAAACCAGGACTCCTGATTCCCAATATTCCTCTGCCATCAGCAAATGACTCTGAAACCACTGGCAGTGTGTGTCTGATACCTTTCTAACGGCAGTTGCATGTCAAGGTAACAGTGCACTACTATTACCATCACCACCAGCTTCTCTTTTAGCTCAAGGGGGTTGACCTAAAGACTCTAGCCCTGGTGATGATCAATGTGGTTCCACTTGACAGAATGTCCAATTTTTCACTTAAAAAAACCATAAGAAATTATATAAAATGCATTAAAGGAATATAACTGAGGTTGGAAAATAAGTGCTTGATGGTTGGGAAAAGCCACACTTAAGTTCACCTGTGCAACATTAATTTGCCTCCTTATTCCTATGCATTATGATACAGTCTTCACATTCACAATTACACGCTAGTTTTCCCACAGGATCCCTGACCTCACTCAGTGCATGGGATCACCCTGCTATGGGGATAATGAGGGTTGTGTAGGGAAGGAGACTGTTGTTTGCAAGTCCCCTGCTTTATTTATTGCAGAAGTTGGGAGACGGGTAATGAATGTGGCAGGACATGGCAGGAAAAGAAAGCATGGTCTTGTGGTTAGGGGGGATGAATATCACCCTGAAGAACTGGATCATATCCCTGCTTCTGCTGCGGCATTCCTGTGCGCTGCTGGGCCAGTCCTTTAAACCTCAAAGTCCACAGAAGGGCTTCTCATTTTGTAGATGAACAAACTGAAATAAATATTTTGATCTGCAGATGTATGAACACCCCTGAGTGCAGGGGAAGTCAATGGGAGCTATGTTTGGAACATATCAAGTGCTTCTGAAATTCTAAATACTCTGAAAATTTGCACCCGAAGAGGCTTGAGTGGGCAGCAGGATGTGGTGGACCTTTTGGCCTTAATCATTTTTGGTCTCTTTTTCTCATGTATAAAATTCCACCTCCTCTCTTCCGGGAATGCTGGGCTGCCCAGTGGTGGAGTCTGACCATGACATGTTCTGTTTCTTATTCTGGAGCCCAGACAGACACCTGGGGCCAAGCGGCAGTGGGGAAAAAACATCACCTAATGAAAGCAGGTATGTCTCATCTCTGACAGCCGCCTATATTCCAGATCATCTCAAAACAGCTTTGCAAACCTTGACTCATTTCTCAAAATCTCTAGGTGAGTAGCAGCACCAAATGTGACAAGACGGCAGCTCGTTTTGCACAAACATATAAAAATGATTAATATTTTTTGCAAGTTTAAGCAGGAAAGATTCTTTATGGCGTCTCAACAAGGCTGACTAGGTCCCCAGAGAATCTGCAGGGATGTGTCATTATCCACTTATCCATTATCCCATCCCTGCTGCAAAAACAGAACATCTCTTCCCCCTTTAATGCTCATCTGATGAACAAACACTTGAGACAGACTAGGATTTTACAGCTGCATCTCAAGTGAACGATACAAGTGAATTGAGGAAAATACTAATTTGAGAAAAACACTCAATTGAAAGAATCAAAGGCAGAGATGGGACAGAGATGCCAATGGCAGTCAAACTATTAGGGAACCATTTTTACTTAAGCAGAGATGAGTTAAGTCAGTCAGAGACAAAACTGTGGCTGCAGCTGTTGTCTGGCTGTAAATGAATGAATACCAGATCTGTTCCATTTGTTTTATTGTCACTCATTCAGGCCAGACAGATTGCTGCTGTTGCACTACCCAAGACTTGCATTAGTTCTGAGAAAGGTCTTCAGTTACTCCAACAACTGCATACATTATATTTTAATCTTACTTCCTGTTGACAGGAATTTAGGCAAAACTATTCTGGGTTTTAAATAAAAGGAGTGCATACTTTGAGATAACTGCAGTGCATTTGCTGAAACATTCAGGCATCTGCTTCAGCAGAAGCTTCAAGGGGAAAAAAAAAAAAAGTGCTGCGTGAACAAGTTTGCTGCTGCCACTGCTACCACAGAAGCTGAGTTTTTGGAAACTTTTATACCCATATAATAATAGTGGAAACACTGAGCAGACTAACTCATCTCCCATAATCAGGGCAGCGTACGGCATGTTCCACTGAGAAAACTCTTAAGAGAGTCAACAGATGAAAAAAAATACTACACACATGCACTTACCAGGCCCTGGAGACTCCCGTCTTCTCGGTCGATGCTGCCTCTGGAGAGCCGCACGTCAGGTTTCTAAAGGAATGAGAAATGTGGTTTTGTACTCTGTGTATAAAAGCATTACAAAGTCACACAGCCCACGATTAAGTTTGTCCTAAAGGCAAGAAAGCACTATTGAAAAATTTACACTTTGACTAAATGCAGATGTCATTTCATTCCTCTCCCCACACGCCCGACTCTCCTGACATGCTCCTGCAAGCACCGTTCCCAAACGTCTCAACAGGCTTCTAAAGACAGTTTCTCAGCTAGCCACTTTCTGCTCCCACATAAAAATGCTTTAGATAAATATTGATAGTACCATTTCCCCAACACAACATTGGAAAGCCTGCATTTTAATTCTCTCAGCGGAGCCGAAGTCGTTTTTTTATTGTGTTTTCTTCCCAACAGCAAAAATTTCAACCACAGGATGAGAAATGCTGCGCATTAATTCCTGTTTCCTGCTTGAGGAAGGCTTATATGTACTTGGCTCCATCTCCAAGCCTGCAAATGGGGCCAATTACCGGAGCTTTTTAAACACTGCGTTAGGGATGCAGAAAGCTAACTGAAGTCTGGATCCAAAGCTCTTCTGCTGTTATGACAGTCACAATTTGTTAAGTGTTAAAACCAGAACAGGCAGGAAAAGCTCAAGTTTTAAGTAGTAAAAATGAAAGGCTCCAGGAAAAGATCTACATAGTTTTTGACTTAATGGATCGCTTCCTCTCCCCCTCTACCAGTATACTTATTGGGAAAGACCAAGGAATAGGAAGTCCAGAAACAACAGCTAATATTGATCCCAAGAACTATGTTCAGCTAAGCAAGGAAATTCCTTTAATGTCACTAACATGCCAAGACAAAGAAAGACAACTTATTCTGATGTCTAACCATCACAGCAAGGTATGCACATGGAAAAGCCCATTCTTTTCAGTGAAGCATAGAAAATCAGGATTGGAAGGGACCTCAGGAGGTCACATCTACTCTAACTCCCTGCTCAAAGCAGGACCAGCCCCAACTACATCATCCCAGTAAAGGCTTTGGCTACTCAAGGCTTAAAAACCTCCAAGGATGGAGATATTCCACAACCTGTCTGGGTAATCTGTTCCAGTGTGTTACTATCCTCCTTGTGAGAAAGTTTAGGTTGGATATTTCCTAATATCCAACCGAAACTTCCCTTGCTGCAACTTGACAACATCACCCCTTGCTCTGTCATCTGCCCCCACTGGGAACAGTCCAGCTCCATCCTCTTTGTAGCCACCCTGCAGGGAGCCGAAGGATTCTCTTCTCCAGACTAAACAAGCCCATTCTGCGTTAAGCACAGTGCAAATTATGCAGGAGTTGTGAGTGTGTGTGTGTGCACATGCATCAGGGGAAGGAGACTATTCTTACATGGAGAAATGCTGATAAGGAAACATTATATTTTGATGAAGCACATAGAAACATAGAAGTTGGGTCGGAAGGCGCCTTGTAGATCTTCAAGTCCAACCCCCTGCCTGGGCAGGAGAAAAAACTGGGCTCAAATGAGTCCAGCCAGGTAGGCATCAAGCCTCTTCTCAAAGACCCCCAGGATAGAAGCCAGCACCACTTCCCTTGGAAGTTGGTTCCAGATCCTAGCTGCCCTGACATGGAACTGCATAGTGCTTGGGGTTCATTTTTTGGAGAAAATACCTCTCTGGTTTTATTTAAAACTGCTCAGGTTCCATTCACTCTTTATGAAAGAAAGCATGGGAGGGTCAGATCCAGCCACAGTCATAGTGCATAGTGCATGCATTTCACATTAGACAGTCATTGGTTAAAAAAACAACCCAAAACCGACGGGAATAACCTTGGCAAGAAAGGCCAGAGCTCCTGACTCCCCTTCCCAAGAGAGTGCCACAGCTTCTATGCTACATCAGCATAGTGCATTTTGCTTGCTCTTCTAGCCCCGTGCCTCCTGCACTGTGCTATCCAGTTTCAACAGGACAGACCGTTCTCTAGCTGGGGTGATTTGGACACCCTCCTTGAAGTGGGAAAGGTAGGTTTGAATTCCCTCAGGCTGAGGAGGGCTTAGGTGAATGCTCTAATCACTACATTGCTTGGCAGAAGATGGGCACCACCTCCCTCCCTCCCAGACAGCCACCAACCCTCAGGGGCAAAACTAGGCTGCTTGTACTGGAAATTAACGGAGGCACCTAAAGTGCAGCATGAGTCAGAGGCAAAGCTCCTGAGAGGGTAGGAATTCAGACACACTCACCATTGCCAAGTGCCTTCCTCTGAGCCCCTCCGGGTTTTCTGGATCAACCTCTGAAGACACCTACCCTTCCCCATCCGCAGTATAAAACTCTAAGCATTGAAATCCAATCACTTTGGATTGCTCTGCAGAAAGGCCTGTGTCTGAACCCAGATTGCCTGAATCCCAACACTGCCTCCATCACAAGATCCAGTTTCCTTTCTAGTGAAAGAGTTTCATTTAGCATCTGTGTAGGTGACCAATATGCAAAATATAAAATAAACTGTGTTTTTCACTATATGTTAATATTTAAACTAAAGAAAAAGATCAACTTCTACAATCTCAATAAATGAATATGACCAAAAAGCCTTGCATTACCACCAGGTCTGGAGATAATTTTCAGAATTTGTTTGAGTTCGATTTAAACATGTAAAAACAGGCTCTTGGACAAAGTGAAAAAAGCTTCCAGGTCACTACCATACAATTCAGATCGAGTGATATTTAAGGATTAAGTTTCGGTGAATTTAGTCATTCCTCTGGGATGGTGTCTGAGATAATGCTGAATATTTTTAATTTTTAAAACACATGCATAAGCACAATTACATGCTAGATAGAATGAGTTGCATTTTTCTCCAATGTTAAATAAATAGGAGAAGCAAGTACTGTAATAAATGTGTCCAACATTCTCAGCTTCAACACAGTGCTTGGATGAAAATGAAGGATGCAAAAAAACTACACTTTTACTGTGATTCATTTATTATATTATACAACTTTGAACTTTAAATATGGGGGTTATACAACAGTGCTTTCTGACTAGTATATAAAGAACAGAAGTCATGTATGACAGGTACGTGAGACAGTTGAAGAGAAACCTTAGAAAACTGCCTCAAGAAAAGGACATCTGCACATACTGCCACATAAATCTAGCGGTTTCCCCTCTTTGCTAATGCTCTCTGACTCACTTTCCTCTCTCTAGAGGCTGGTTTCCAAGCTCGGAAATCAGTGGAAAGAGCTGCACTGTCCTGAGAGGTTCCAGGCTGACCCACGATATGCAATGCCATTGGACTGCAATCACATTACCTTGAAGGATTCTCCTACTTTTGAGTGTTTCCATTTGCCAAAATCCATATTCCAGCTATCCTTTCTGTAATTACTCCCTACTCCCTTTACTTGGATGCTTTCTGGCCTCCTTAGGCCAGCTCCACAAGTAGACGTGAGCATTTAACTCCCCTTCATTTCAGCTGGAAGATTTCAAACTAGAGTTTATGTTCTGAAAGGAGTCAAGTGCCTGTTACAAATGCTGTTGTGGACTGGACACTGGTGTCTAGAGAATTCCTTGCAACATCTATGTAAGATAGGAAAGCATTATTGTCATTTTACAGACAGGAAGCTGAGGCATGACATTTGGCCCCTTGCAGTACGCAGGCTTTCTGTAGCAAAGCTGCACTTAAGTCTAGATCTTGTGTGTGCCAGTGCAATGCCCTAGTAAATGCACCCCATTTTTCCACTCTGCTTACCCAGAAAGAACCTTACTAAACAGAGCCCAGGCTGAGAGGCCGAGTGGGAGTGGGGATGGGGTACCAGCCCGCAACACATGCTCATTTCAGGAAGTTCAGTACAGAAAGAGCAATACAAAAATATCCAGCTTCAGTCTAAGACTACCGCGCTGAATGCCTAACAAGCATGGATGTGTCTCTAATGATCTCCCAACAAGATTCCAGTTCTGATTTATTCATGTGTACAGCCGTAGGGCGCCAGTTCAGCAAAGTTGGAGTTCTGAAGGCAATCTCTCTAAAATCGAGTGAAAAAAACCTCCAAGATCAAACTCCCACTTTACTTTAAGACTGATTCTACAGCAGCTTTGGTCTTTCCAAGTGCTAAGGCTTCACAGGTCCTTTTAGTCTCTTGGTACTACCATTAAGACAGTGATGTGCTGCCAGCATTTTAACAAGGAGATCCCTAAAACTGTGCCCTCTCAGGCAGCTGCAATGCATGCAGTGCTCCTCGGGATCAAGAGATGCCACACTCACACCAAAGCAATTCATCAGTTCCATTCTCTTTCCACCGCTCTGAATGTCCAGCTTTTCTCCTTCCCCCCACGGACCTGAGCCACTCAGTCACCCCGCTTCTCCTTTTTGGAACTTCATGGAGACTCCACTAAGTCACGCCCCAGGTGACAGCAGCTACATGGCAAAACAATCCCCTCTGATGCTCAAGTGGGCTGGGAAATACTGTCCTTCACGGTCCCTGAGTGGACAGCGGGTGTGGAGCATTTTTAGTGCTTGTTGGGGCCAGACAGTATATGCAGAGGTAAGGTATAAGGGAAGAAAAATTCCTCAGGAAACTAGTGCACATTAACATAATGGTGGGTGGGCGAGTGAGGCACGAGCCCCAGGTGCTGCCAGGGGGGAGAGGGCAGCAAGATGGAGGTATGGGTGCCCCTCACCTTCTTGTCCATCCTCCTTCACACTCCCAGTACCTTCCCTTCACCGGCTCTGGCTCTGGCACACTGTGCAAGAGGAGCAGCCAGAGGTTCACTGCTGCTGGGGGAGATGTCACCTCCTCTTTTGGCCAATTGACATGCATGGCAGCACCAAAAGAAAAAGGAAAAGAAGATGACGTCTCCTTCAGCAGCAGCAAACCTCTGCTCCTGTACTGCTTCTGCTGCTGGAACTGGAGTCGGAAAGGTGCAGCATGCTGGGGGTGCAGTCCTGCCCAGACCATGAGACGGGACACTTGCGCCTCTGCTCTTGGTTTGCTCACTCATGAATTACAACCATCCAGCCAAGCCAGCATGTTCAGCAAAGCCCCAGGAAAAACCACGAGAGAAGGG